TGCTGAGTAAGATTCATGCCCAGGCAGAGGAGGATGCCAGTGCACTAATACTGCCTGACAGTAAATGTCATCAGAATTTAAATTACATGGCCTGCTCCCTCTCACGGAGCATGAGAGTTTGCTTTAACCTATATCGGCCACCGCAAACAGCAGCGGAGGAGCCTGTGGGGGCCTAGGAGGACGGGTGGGGGGTTGTGGTGTGGGAAGTGATGTTTTTGCACTTCAAGACGCCTCGTGGTTTGAAAGCACCAGCTCAGTTCTTTATCTTCCCTTGTCATGTATGTAAAAGCAACGAGCTGATCCACCAGGCGTGTGCACGGCTAATTAGAGGGATTCAATTAGCCTGATCATTAACGATGTGGACAGATCTGCTGCTTTCACTAACGAACCGCACATATGCAGACCCCCCCCCCATTCACCCCCCACCCCCTTTATAAGCCTTTGTCCCTTGGCTTATATTAGCGTTCACAAATGGGCTATGAGCATGGATGGCGTGCAGAGATGACCAGGCAAGGCCAGGATTGTGAAGAACTCAAAATGCTAGGAGGTTCATCCGTCTGACTGAGCGTATACATGGAAATATGCTTCAGTTTAACAGCTTCATATGACAAGTATTACTGTAATGAGTTGATGATGGGCCAGATCTAAATGAATTCGGTGGTCAAAGTTTTATTTATTTATTATTATTTTTTTGTCATGTGATATACGTGCTAAAGCAAGTATTAGCCATCAGTCGTGGTACTGTGACAGTCAAGGTGACCTTATTAATTTAAGGTGTTTTTACAGTGTTGTCCTCCAGTGTACTCAATGTGATGGAGTGTGCGCTTATATGATATAATTTAACTTTTCCTCATCATGAAGTGTTACTTTTGGTTTCAGCATCTTATTAGCATATGTCAGTATGTAATAATTATGCTCAGTCCTGTCACACAGTTTACTTTCCTGTATAAGATAATGAGAGTGAACTTTTACTGCAAGTATCTTTATTGAAAGGAAATAGAGGGATTGTTTTAGGTGTAGAATATATGCAATTACCTTTAACAGAAGTAACATTAATAAGATAAGTGACCTTTTCTTCATTCACCCTGACCAGTGTGGGTCTTCATGAAGGTCTGAGCATCTCTAATGTATCTCCCTGGAGAGTTTTTACATTGGTGTGCAAACTGTATGTAAAATTTTAAAGCATATGCAATCGGTAAAGATTATTTCACAAATTAATGAGATTAGCATCTTAGTTGGTTTTTAATTGGAGGTTTACCAGTGTTTTACAGCCTTTTTATAGTGCCCAAAGTATTTTCTTTATACTTCTCAGTGTATAAGCAAGAGGGTGAAGAGCACTTATTAAGCTATTTATAAAAAAAGGATACAATAGATAAATGTGTCAGACGCGATTTGCTGCTGTTGTAGCTCCATGTGTTCCAGACGAGTTTCTTTCTCTTCCGTAAGGAGGTTACATTAAACCCTATAAACTTCAAAATTTGAAGAAGCTGTAAACGTTTGATTCTGGAACGGCATTCCTGACACCCCTGGAAAGAGTCCCAAACTGGATTAGTTTAATGCTCTTTAGTGCTTGTCTCTGAGTGTATCCACATCTGTCTGCAGTATTGCTGTCCTACAAACTTACGATGCTGAAAATGTCAAGACAGATCTGGACTCTGCCGCCCCCTCAAATGAAAACGCTTACCCATGCTGAAGTTCATCCTTTCTTTAAGCACATATACTGTATAAGGGAGCTTGCTTTTCCACAATTTGGAGGAGCTCCAGTGTCCGAAGCATTAAGTGTAAAGCCGCCTTCTCGTTGCATTTGTAATTTTCTGTGCAAATGTGTGTTTTGTTTACAGAGGGAGAGTGCTTCATGGGGAATCCAAGCATGAAGTGGAAAAAATATGACTCTGATGGAGAATGAGTGGTCAGTTAGGAATGTGCATTTCCTTCTTTATCCAGACTGTCCTGAGGTCATTTCTTCACTCTTTTATTCTCTATCCCCCATTCCATCTTCCTCTGTCCAATAATATTATTTTCTATCACATTATGGGGCTCTTCTTAAAGGAAAACTCACAGTGTTCCTGCGTGAGAAACACATAACTGTTTTTCTTCTCCTGAATGTGACAGGGCCCACATTCGCGCTTTGTTCTAGACTTGGGGGTAATGAGCGATCCATATTTTGCCAAGTGTTGTAAAGAGATGCCCCTGGCCACGAACAGCTGTAATGGAAGGCAATGGCATGTCTGGGGTGGAATGAGCATTAGAATAAGTGCAAATCCGACGGTTATTCAGATACTCTTGGGCCCTGTCATTACACAGGCTGCAAGATGAACAAGATCTAATTACTCCAGTGGAGCTTTTCAAATGTGATTCTAAAGTGGGGAAACATAAGGTTTTATTTCTGTACTGTGGTGTTCAGTTTAATAAACAATCATAGTCTGCTTTGTTTATCTCCTGGGAACATTCAGTAGGACACAGCATATTTATGTACAAATTTATTTAAATAGTATGCACAAACATAAATGAAGTTAATTTCTGGCAAATAAAATTCAAAATTTAAATATTCAAACTGTTTTTTTTTCTCTCTAGTGTTTAATAATATTTTATTTTGGATAAAGGTCTGACCGAGCCTCAATTGTTTATCTACACGTGAACAATTATCAAAGCATACGATCACCAAAAAATAACGAATCTATCATAATTTACTCACTATTCAATATCCCGGTGACTTTCCTTGATTTGTGAAAAATGTGAATTTTTGAAGAATAGCCTGACACTCAAAATAACAAAAGTGAATGTGAATTGAGGCTGTCAAGTCGTAAAAATAAATGATTTTAAAAATGAACGCATAATTTAAGATATCAAAAACTAGCCCATATGATTTAACAGCCCATTCTCACCCCCAAGGTGTCACTTAACTGACGCCTTGGGAAGCATTTGGACATGCTTCAATATCTGACGCTTTAGGCGCCCTTTAGCGTCAGTTAGATGACGCCCTAGGATCGCGTGTACCCTACCCCCACCCCACACCTAAACCTAACCGCGTCCTCTAACTGACGCTTTCCTCAAAGGTGACGCCTTGGGGTGAGAATCAGTGGCGGCGCCAGGGGGGGTCTTGGGGGGTCTTAAGACCCTCCCAAAAAACGCTGTGACCCCCCATTCGACCCCCCACCCACTTCCTGATTAAAAAATATATTTATGCAGGATAAAGATTTAAAAATGTTTCTCTTCAAACTAGGCAGAACAATAATCATAAATAATTTATTCGACATATACAAAATATAAACACAAGAATCAATGCCACGCCCCATGAACGTCGCTGCTACACCTTGCGTCATCATTGTATATTCAAGGCGCTACCGCGAGCCCGCGCGAGCTGCAACGAAGCTAAAAATGGATCGCTTTATATAATGAGAGCTGACGGAAATTATAGCAATAGGAGTGAAAATATACCTGTTGCCGTGGAGGGCGAGGCCTGCTTGATAGAGACTGGAGAGTTAAGTCTAAGAGGAGAGAAGTAGACACAGGAGGAGACTGGAGACTTAAACTGGGTTAGTTCGGTATTTTACTCTTAAAGCCCTGTTTTAAGATCGTTGCTGATGAAATAGAATACAAAATCATAATAAAATCGCTGTAAAAGATGCCTTCCATGGTTTTATATCGTAGTTTTGTCCCAAGTCAAGTCAATGTAGTTGTACAAAAACTATTTTAAAACCTTTTGGAAAACATCTTTTGCAGCGATTTTTGCGTGAGCGTTTCAGTGAACATCCCAGACCACTCGGTGAGTTTCACGTCTTTGTAAACGAAAGTTTATGCGTTTTATGAATGATTGTTCCAGTGCTAACACAAGTTCTCGGGACAGCAGTAGCTAATTTGACCAAATTTCAATCTTAACCGTTCTATTTCATCAGAAACTATCTTAAAACAGGGCTTTAAGTGTAAAGTAGGGCAATCAAAAGGTGGTGAGAGTATGAGAATAGATACTATTTTGTGTTTTGTTCATTGTTGTGCTTGAATTAAACTGCATCTTTTTCATGAACATTTTCTCTGCTGCTTTATTCATCCATGTTCGTATCAACCCCCAGCCACCACTACTGACTCCCTCTGAAATTACAACCAATCATCACATTTTGTAAATATGTTTTCTGTAATGGGTGTGGTGTGGCTATGGCAATTAAAGTTCGAGCATATTGTTTGCAAACCGAAATTAATTAAAAACAAAGTAGTTGATATATGCTGTGTTGTTTTTGTTGTTAAGTAGCAGTAATATGCAGTTATTAGCCGTGTCAACTGTATTTTTTTGTTGGTTTTCATGAGACCCCCCCTTGAAATGACCAGGACCCCCCATTGCCCCCCCCAATCAAAATTGTCTGGAGCCGCCACTGGTGAGAATGCGTTGGATTTAAACACTATATTCAACGCATTCTCACCCCAAGGCGTCACCTTTGACCATGCTTCAATATTTGACGTTTTAGGCGCCCTTTAGCGTCACTTACATGACGCGATCCTACGGCGTCATCTAACTGACGCTAAAGGAAAGCGCCAGTTAGAGGACGCGGTTAGGTTTAGGTGTGGGGTGGGGGTAGGGTACACGCGGTTAAGTGACGCCTTGGGGGTGAGAATGGGCTGCTATATTAAGTAAAACTTGAACTGATTCGATGAGCTGAACTATCTTTCAGACCAGTTAAGTGAACTGGATCAATTGATTCTTCTCAAAATAAACTCAAAATTCAAATCATTCATGAATCAGGTAGCGCTAAACGTCTCATGAACTCTCATAAACGTGACAAAGGAAGCTTCGGCTGATGTCATTTTTAGTAAATAGTGAGACAAATGTCTGTTTCGTACTGTCACCCCTGCTCTTGTTGTTTGCTTTGTTCTGGTTTCCTATTTTGCTTGTAGTCAGTTTGTAGTTTTCTCTGTTGACTGATTTCATTGATTGTTTCCCAGGTGTATCTTGTTATGCTTGTTTGCCCTTTATATTGTGTTTCCCATGTTCAAGGCCTGGTCTTGTCCTGCCAAGGCATTTTTTTTCAGGGCTGTTCCTTTTTTATGGTTTTGAGTGTTTTACCTGTCCCTCTTGTTCTTTACTGCATTCTACTTTCCCTCACAATGTCTGCATCCTCATCATGTTACAGAAGAATGGGTAAAAATGTAAAACGTGCCACAGCAAGAGTCAAACAGGCTTGGGATGACATGAGTGTGAGTAAATAATGACAATTTAAATTTTTGGGTGATCAGTCTCTTTAAATGAACTTGCACTGTATAAGGATTTACTCATTGCATCTCTCTCGTTTATTTTGTGGCTGTGTTGCCTAAACCTTTCTGTGCCAACAAGGTCATGTGATTGCTCTGCCCGCTACAGTCACAAACACACAGTGACAATGGCGTCCTCCTTTCTTTAATCTGAATGCATTCACCGTCACTGTTCTCTCGCTCATCCTGTCTCCAGGTTAATGCCCTCATACAGCGTGTCAGCTGCAGTGTGCTCCCTGGTGGATGTGTGCTCTTCCATGACTGCTATGCCCAGCCTGTTTAGGAGGGGAAGTGTTTTCCTGCGACCACGCCAGAGGAGAGGAAAATGCGTTATTCTGTCACTGCATGTCACTAAGGTCACAGAGGTATGCTGCACCTCTGGGCTAACATGCATTCCAGTGGCATGTTTCTGTGAGCTGTGTGGTGCAAATGTGCATCAATGAAAGCAAAAAAAAAAAAAAGCATGCTTCAATTTTTAATATACATTCTTATGGCTGAAAGGGCTTTCATGAATAACACCTGATGACCTTGGTACCAGCACAGGTTGTTGACGACTTGATTTCTACTTTTATTCTATTCGGCTTTTTATTGCTCAGTTTTTTACTCACAGTTTTTTTGTTTGTTTATGTTGCCAACCTGACATAATAAAACCTAATGCTGTGAATGTTGCATTAAAAGACAGTATTGCAAAAATGTGTGTGTATATGTAACCTCATGTGAAAAAGAACATAACATAATAACAATCATCTGGTCATTAGCAGGTCTTAAAATCAGGAAAATAAAACCGGTAACACTTTACAATACGGGTGCACTAATATGCATTAATTAATGCTTAACTAATACACAGATAATCATGAGTTAATGTATAACTAATGAAGAACTAAACCATTAATTAATGATTACTGCATCTGCAACTAATAAAGAGTCTATATGATTAATAGATTAAGTAATACATGAATTGCTATTAATTCAATGTGTCATTGTGTATTAATTCCTTAATAACATATTTTATTAACTAATAGTGTAAATTAATGTGTTAATTACCACAATTAGTCAAAGCTATGCACTTCAACTTCCAGTTGTCTGCTTTAATTAATCATTAGCTAATGATTTGCAAAGGTATCATTATGTTATGACTTTACTTGTTGAGGCACATCATTATTAACTAGTCATTTAGTAATTGTAGCAATTTTCACATGAATTTGCACTAACAATTAAGTAAGTAATCATGTATTAATGCATATTAGTGTACCTGTCATATTATCTGGAAGTTTAAAATACAAGGCTTTGGCTCATTCTGGTAATTAACATATTAATTAACACTATTAGTTAAAAAAAATAGTTATTATGGAATTAATCCACACTTACATATTTAATTAAAAACAATTCATGTATGTACTAATACATTAACCTTACAGACTCTTAATTAGTTCCTAATGTGGTAATCATTAATGAATAGCTTGGATAATCATTACTTACACATTAATTCAGTATTATCTGTGCATTAGTTAAGCATGAATTAATGCTTATTAGTGCACCCTTATTGTAAAGTGTTACCATAAAACCTTAATAAAAAATCAGCTGACAACCTTATGATTTAATTGCTTGTAGATCTACTTTTAGCAGCAATAAGTTAAAATAATAATTTTCTATATGCCAGAATCAGTCTCTCACATCGTTCTGGAGGAATTTTGGACCACTCTTCTATACGATATGGCTTCAGTTGATTGAGGTGTGTGGGCATTTGTTCATGCACAGCTCTCTTAAGTTCACATTTCAGTCTTGTTGAGCCCTGGATTTTGACTGGGCCAGTGCAACACCTTGATTATTTTCTTTTTCAGCCATTCTGTTGAAGATTTGCTAATGTGCTTTGCATCATTGTCCTGTTGCATAACAGTTTCGGCCAAGCTTTAGCTGTTTGACAGATGGCCTCACATTTGACTCTAGAATACTCTGGGATACAGATGAGTTTATGGTCAACTCAATGACTGCAAGGTGCCCAAGTCCTGTGGCTGCAAATCAAGCAACAAAAAATCATCAACCCTCCCATCAGCGTGATGGACAGTTGGTATGATGTAGTTGATTTAGTAATTGTGTAAAACAAAATTCATATTAAAGCATTTAAGCCTCTTTAACTAGAACTTACTGGTTCTTGGTAATTCTAGTTAAGGTAACACTTAATGTTCTGTAGTTAATGAATAACTACACAGGAACAAAAGACTAACGCAATAGTTATAGTACTATTTATATAGTTGATTTCCGCATTCAATTGAGTGATGATACTTTATAATTTCTTAATCAGCATTTCTTGTTAGTTAATATTAGCTACTAGAATGTTAATATTGCATTGCTTATTTGTTCCGGTGTAGTTATTCATTAATGATGGAACAGTATTTTAAAGTGGTAGCATTATATGTTCCCAACACAATAACGTGCCATTACAGAGCCATAGATGTCTGTGAAGGTCAGCAACGATCCAAGCAACTGCACAAATGCGCCAAATTACATGTCACTTCAAGTGTACATTGCATCCTTTTAGGACTAAATGCTCATTTTACAGCAAGTAAATATGATATAGATGCATTCTGAGTACTTGACACCACTGCGTCTTCATCTGACCGTATACTGACTGTATGAGTGGTCATTTAGTCCACATATGGAAAGGAAGCAGCAGAGAATGAGACTGCATTCATGCGCTTTGTCAAATGTGAAATTGCATCTTGGTTTTATGTGAATGCTCTGTTAGAAAATAGTTGCCAACAGGCAATGAATTTCATTAGTTAGGGAAGTGTAGCCCTTAGAGCAGCAAACTATTACATTTGAAATGAGCAGTGATACAGAGAGGTGTGTGATTCGTCTATAAACTGCCTGTTTCCTCCAGCTTTTTACTGGTTTAAGGCCTGCTTCATGGAACGGCTCTTGGCTTCAATGCAGGGGGTGGTATGAAGTGAAGATGAGTGTCAGATCCAATGACCAGAATAAAAGTCTTATACATCAATTACATTACACTCCATGGACATTTATGCTATACCCTGTCAGGATTCAGTCACGATCACAGTGTAGAACATACAAGACAGCAATGAGAAAAAAAAAAAAAAAAAAGATGAGTCAATCTCTCTGCTTTTGCTAGAATGATAGAGTGACTAATTAACAAACAGTAGCCAAGTCATAAGTCCATTTAATGCATTTACCAAGCAAATGTTCTAGTATGTGGGAAAAACACTAGTGGGTTATGATATAACTCAACTCTTGAATGTGAGACCTAACCATACATGTAATTGTGGCACCATTAGAGAACTCTAAGCAAAGTGTCCAGGTGTTTCTGTCCAATAATATGGGAAATAAAGGATTCAATGTGGAAATATCTAAGATGCAGTATATCCCTGGCAGTTTCAGTCCCTGAATGACACAATGTGGGATGTGTGAAGATTTAATTGACAGGCTATAGATCCCCCAGATCCAGCATGATTAACAGTTTAGAGGATGCTTTGTCAGTGAGACTCCTACTTTATTTAACTCATTTTCACGTGATTTTTCAGAGCCATAGACTCTGTTTAATCAGTTTAACTCAACTTAAGTTGGTGGTGCTGACGCCTCTGTGCTTTAAAGCAGGGATTTCTTTGCGTCCCCACAGAATCCCCTTTCACATATCTTAATATGCCATCTTGCTCTCTCAGGGCTAATAATTGAATCCAGGCAGAGTTTAAATAGCTTAAAGGACAGGGAATACAGATGGGCATTGCCGTGATTAGCGCAAACTCCGGCCCATGGCCTCTGTGTTGGCTGCAGGATTAGGACATTACGAAGAGAATGACAGGGCTTTTTTAACACTTTATTCCCTCTCAATAACATTCTTTCACATATTAATACCACCCCTAGGTAGCTACTTTATCATGCAGAAGAACTTAATCCACTGGTGTTGAGTCCATCTCACTCTGTCTTTGATGCAGCCCCCACCCTCTGCTTTAACACTGCCGCTGGAAGCCCTGTGTAAGACAAAGCACCCGTGACAGAGACAATCAGAAACAGCTCAGGCCCAAAAAATGGGCTTCAGCCTTTGGAGAGCAGAGAAGAGAAGAGCCATCGTTGAAATAACATTAAGCCAAAGAGAAAACATCAAAAGAGGCAGAAGTAGACAATATGAACTCCTGAAGAAGAACCTTTAGAGCTCACATTGTGCCTGAGAAATGTATCATTTTCACTCTTTTCTTCGCCTCTGATTTGAGTCAGAGGGTTAGGCCCTAGTGATCTTCTTGTATGCTCCTTTATCTAAAGAGCACCTCTGACCTCTGGCTGAAAGGCCCTGGATACCGTGATGGGTGTAAGCTGGGGGGTGTGTGTCTGATGTGGGATTGCCTCTATTGCTGGCATTTAGCTTGCCTGTGAGCAGCGGTGGTGGCCAGTTTCTCCTTGAGAGCCTCACCCTGGGAAAATTTATTAGGGTCAGAGCACCCGTTGCATGTACAGACATGCAGAATTAGCAGCAATGGCTGGTCATAAAAAGGCCATAAGAGTATTGTCATTCTTAAATACTGGACACTCGTGCTGTATTTCTCAGATCAGAACTGGACATTTATCAGTGTAAAGACGTAAAAAGCACCATTTTATAATTAACAACCAACACCCAATTACTTTGTACAAACTCCTGACTTTCTATGAGTGTAATTTCAGCATGAATTCAATCACCTGTTTAAACTTAAGCTGTCCGTTTCATTGACAGAACTGGCGAGAGCTCTAAAGGGGTTTGATCCATCTAGCGCTAACAGATGGTTGGTGTGACCGGACCCAGACTGGGAATCACTACCCAAACTCCCACTGAAGGGTTGAGGGGCTAAATCCTCTGTTGCTTGCCCTAAGAAGACCATAAGCTTGAGCAGAGCAAGAGAAAGGCTCTGCTACTGGTGCTAATTACCCAGAAACCACACAGAAAGTGCCCACTGTCACCCACTGAAGAGGTTCACATCCCTTCCTCCACAGATAAAAGGCGTAGTATGAAAACATTTCACGAGGGACAAAGGGGGGAAGATTAACATAATCTTTGGGTTTGTATCCCTGTAAGCTGTCCATGTGTGAGCCTCTGCCTCTCCCTGTTTTCTCCTCTCTCGCACTCATTTTCTTTTCTTTCATTTTCCTCATATCTTACCTCCTAAAGTCTGGTTTGTAAGGAATAGGCACGATGGTAAAAGGCTTTGTTGTCTAAGCCTGACAGTTGTGTTTTTCCCGCCTCTTTGTGATCCTCTCTGTAGATAGTAGGCTGATGTTTGGGCAAAACAGACAATAGTGAGCAAAAACGACGTGTCATGCTGCTGACATACAGTTCTTCATGTTATGTCACTGCTAATCCTGAGCCCACGGCCATCTCAGTTTAATTTTTTTATTTTTTTGTAATAAGACTTCCTTCATAGCGTCATTGCCCATGTGATAGGGGTAGTAGCACTACCATCATTGTTCTGTACATCAA